GTCCTTAAAACATGTCCGGTTCCTTTATGTAAGTAGGTAAAGTAATGACTATTGGTTGTAAAAAAAAAATCTTCATATTTGGACAGCCCCCTCATGAGACTGTCCATCAAGGCAACTATGGGTCACCCAAGGGGAGGGGGCAAACTCTTTTGCACTTTAGGCAGATGGTAAAAGTAGGCGGTATTATAATACTCCTGACACAAGACATTTTTCTCACCCTTATGTCAGAATACCCTCTCTAGTCACTTGATTGAAAAGCAGAAGGGGGCCTTTAGGCAGTTTATCATATGTAGAGTCATCTGAAAGCAGCCCACAAGATTCTTTTAAATAAGCCTCACAGTCTTGAACTGCTACTCTCCCGCCCTTATCTGCACTGCCCACCTTTAGACCATGCCTAGCCTTCTGCATTCCTCTCAAAAATACATAAGAAGGCTTCTACATTATTTTGGCTTGTCATTCTTTGTAGAAGGTTCCCCAGTGTGCTTGTATGGGTGTCACCAGGGGAGACAGCATAAACACCAGGCCAGAAGTCCATGCTGACAGCTGCTGTATCACATCTGTTAACGGGCGTCCGTTTCTCTCTGCTGCGTGGGCTAAGGCAGTCACCTGAACCTCAGTGGCAAAGGGACAAAGCAGTCACCTGAGCCTCAGAGCTCACCAGCAGGGCAGCCACTGATTTACATTGCATGCTGATTTGCATTGGCATGTTGCTGCTGGGCAGCCAACAGTCTATAAATGTCTTACTAATTTGCATTAACCTGTTGCACTTTGTATTGGCCTGTTGTTTGGCAGCATTAGCTTGCCTTTACCAAAACCTCCATACTACAGATACAGAATGTACCCCAAAGTGTACTGTGCCTTTAAATATTGGTGGCAAACACTTTTCCCAGGTCTTAATCCCTATGGCACTTTAGCACAATCTACACAGTTCACCACAAAATAACTCACTTTTCAGCAGGAGTCAAAAGTGTGTTTAAGAGCTTATTTTTTATTCCTCATGGTTGCATTAAACACATAGAGTTTCTCTTGCAGGGGGTCCATATAAGCAATTCAGTACAAAACAAAACATTCAGCCCCCTGGCTAGCTATGAGACAGTTTGGGTCTTCTTAGACCTGCAAGCTGCTCCAGCACAGCTTTCATACAGTTTCTCTTTCTAAGGACTCATTTACACTAGTGTCACCCTCTGAAGAACAATCTGGGTTGATTGCTTTTCAGAAGATGTTTGAGAGGCAACTGGGAGGAGATATGTTGTTCCTCACTACCTGTTGTAACCCCCAAAAGCCCACACCATCAGCATTGCATGTGCTTGCTGTGCAGTTGCAGTGTGGCCCCTTTCACTTGCATGGATTGTATTTAGCAGAGGTAGTACCCATGAACATGAGATGGGGTAAAAGTTTTGCTGCAGCATGTATATAACCCCATCCTGTTACCCTTTTCAGCTTAAGAGAGGTGGTCTGGGCTAAACAACCACCTGATTTTACTGTCACCCAACCGCAGGTGTAAATGAGGCATAAAACACCGAACCGCCCTACTCAACCCAGAGAAAACTTACGTTTTGCACCAGGTTTAGAAAAGTCAGTAGCCATTGCTTAACCCCTTGAGCTGTGCATGCACAGCACAGTGTACATTCCTCAGAGGTTTACAAATAGGCAGGTAAGTGTACATTATTGCAGAAGAGACATTGCATGAAAGAATAACATAAAAATGATGAAACCTGCATAATGTTACTTTACAAACTTGGCAGATGTTTGCTACATGATGCTTTAGCAAACCAAGGGGACATTCTCTCCACTTTCCTGCAGTAACTCACTTTATGTGTATTGGTGCATTGTGGTGCCATTCACTAGGCATATTACCTCAATGCATCTGTGTTGCAGTGCATTGGGCTAGAAAAAAATCAGCAGGTTCCATTTTATTGTTTCCATTGTTGTGTAATAGGCAACCCATTTTAATGAATCAGCTGTCTTCATCCAACATAAGTCAGTGCACATGTGTTAAATACATTGCAATAGAATTCCCTAGTATGAATGGGCCCTAAATGTCTACTATTCTGAAAGTTACAGCTGAAAAAAAGCCGTGCACAAAGCACACCAATGCTCAGGTCAAAACACACACGATTCTTCTATTTAGACAGTATTTATTTATCCCAGAATCAGGTGTAAAGTTTAACTAAAGGCCTACTTTCAGGTGACTGGGTGTTGGCAAAAAAAGGAAAGCTACAGGGACACCCCCCTGTATCATCCTCCTCACTCTCTGCTATCCTCAGTGTTTTGCTAGTGTTCTTAGGTGATGGTCATCTTCTCTCTCTCTACTGAGAAGCCTATCTCCTTTATGTAGATTTTTACTCTTGGAAGTCTTAGTCTATCTCACAAGGCACAAGTAGCCTCTGTTCAGACAATTGCCCCAAGTCTGACTTACTGGACACTCGGACATACACAGATTCTGACTCTTTATTGGCGCTTCATCCAGACCTTTTGTCCCAAGTGTCAGTCCTCTATATTTCTTTTTGGTCACTGGCTGTAATGGCATGGCTGTTCAAGCCCAGGTCCTGAGGGACAGAGGCCTATAGTGTTCAGTCATCCCTAACCTCTCTGAATGGTGTGAGACCAGGAAATTTCATCCTAAGAAATACTATGTTGGACACATCTTGTCATTCCTCTAGTCTGGTCTGGATCAGCATCTGGCCATGATTACCATCAAATGTCAAATCGCAGCCTTGACAATTCTGTTTCAGACTGCTGGCTCTTATTCCTTGGTTGGGGCCTTTGTGTAGGGTGTCACACCTTGCTCCCACAGTACCTTTGCCTTTGACTCTGTGGGAACTTATCCTTAACCTTCTTTTGACTCTACAGAGGCTGCTAAACCTTAGAAATATTACCTTGTTTAATTACGTATCTAACCTTACTTGCAAGGTACCCTTTCTTGTTGCTACCACAGTCTTCTGATTACAAATTTGTGAAGTATTACTAGGTGGATGTTCAAGCCTCCTCTGAAGCTAGTTTAGGGTGTAGGGGCCACATCTGCTCTCTGAGTTGTGTTGAGCCCCTTTTGACAAGTTTGTTACGTGGGCCTGTTGGCATTCAACTGTTACCCCACTTCTCAGATTAAAGATACTATGTGCTTTACTGTGCAAACAAAAAAATAGGATTTTTGACTTACCAATAAAATCTGTTTCTTTGAGTACAGGACACAGGTCCTTCCCCTTTGTTCTTTAAGATTTCCCTTTTGCTTGCTACATAACTGAAGCCAGCAGGGATTTGGAGGGGTTAAATAGGGGATGTCCCTGCAGCATTCTTTTTTTTTTTTCAATCCAGTCACCTAAAGGTAGCTGCCTATAACTCATGGTTAAAGAATAAAGATACTGTGTCCTGTACTATACTCCAAGAAAAGATTTTTGCTGGTAAGTCAGAAATCCTATTTTTTTTATTAGAGTTGCTACCAGAACAAAAATAGAGAGGAATTTCCACTGGGGACAATTGTTCATATGATAGCTTTCCAAGGTGGGGGTTTCCTTTAAGCCCCTTTCACATGGGTGGACCGATCAGGTCTGCCTGTCAGTTTTTTAGGCAGACCCGATCAGACCCTCCATTCTCCTCTGTGGAACAGTGGGTGTAATTGGACGTGTCTGCTTACACCCACCTACATCTAATCCAATCCGCTAAAAACAGACAGATGGGGAGTTCCCCTTCTTTCTTGAAGACCGGATGGCAGTTGGGTGTAAATGGACATGCAGTGCATTTACATCTGACTGTCCATCCCCTTAATAAGCTGAGTGAACATGAACCAACCAACTGCCTGCTCCGCAGGGATTGGTGAACAGATCCCCTGCGTAGCAAGCGGACTCCTAGCGGAGCCCACCCGTGTGAAAGGGGCCTTACATTGGAAAGCCATACTCTCACTTGTTAAGTCTACAGGACAGAAAATGAAGGTAAATCTCCCTGAAGCATGTCTGATGGCAAAAACGACGGCCCTCCCCTACTTTATGCAAAATGAAAAAAAAAAAAAAAAAGCTTTGGATGATGTCTATGATGTCTGGGTCCCGTCTGGGAAAATCTACCATCACTATTTATCTTGGTTATAATTGTCACCAGGAGAGAAAATGAGGGTGAGTGCAAAACTTGTAATTGAAGCAGGAATAGAGAGGATATCTTTGAATTGTGCCGTCACTTCAGGTGACAACTCCCAATGATGGCATTTCCCCTCATTTTGGGTAGATTTCTTTGATTAATCAATGATTTTTCTTTAGTTTTTCAAAGTACAAAGATCCAACAGTTACACATACTTGGGTAGATTTCTATAAACTTCCTGTTGTGTCCCTAGGGATGGCAAGTGCATGGGAATACCAATAATGAGGGTGGAGACAGTAATAAAATTCTAATCCTTCTCCACTATGTCCAAAGCTAAAATAAAAAATTAGGCTTTATGCACCCCCCCCCCACACACACTTTCCCAATTCTACTTAATATATTCATTTTATTTCAAATAAAACTGTGGTATTATCAGATGAATGATGGTAAATGATGATTTCATTGAGATGACAGTGTAAGAGATGACATTAAAGAAGACAAGGGATGCAAAGGTAATCAGGACAGTGAGCCATGCTTGTCTTAGCTCAGCTATGCATCATCTCTGTATTAGTCATACAAACAGATGGAACACTTATACTGGCCTATGCATGTTGTAAACCCCTTTTAGTCTGGATTTTTTTTTTATGCCGTAAAGCTTCCCAGCAAATGCATTTCAGTTCAAAGGCAACTGTGCATCCCTTTCCTAATGATACATCCCTGAGGCGATCACATCACCGTGCTGATTTGCTGCAGTGGAGACTGCAGCGTCTGCTCTGTGCCCTCCCCCTTCTCTCCCGTTCTGCTTAGAGCATCAGTCTGTAGCTAGTGCATGTAAGCAAGTCTGGTCCTCTCACCTATTCATGCTTTGGAATGCTGTAGCAAAAATACAGCGCCTCCGAAGAAAGCACTAGTGACTCTCCAGCCCTACAAGGATGCAGGCCAGTGCCGACTCCACCAGGATGGAATGTTTCTGGAGCAACTGGAAATGCCAGGGTAATGTTCGCTCAATCGTGAGCCATGCACGACATACACAATGACACCTCCTGCATGCCTTAGCCCTGAGAACACCCATTTTGATCTGTTCACCTGCGGGCGATCCTCATCATCTGTTTTATCCATCTCCGTCTTTTAATCATGATCTTTGCATGCCAGCCATACCATTTCTTATGTAATGTGGAAATGCTTATCATAGTAAGAGAATTTAATGTCCATACACAATGCCAGCCTTGTCTGTTTGTGCTCTTTGATTTGAATGTTCTAGAAAATACTATGATTTTGGGAATATTTATAGCAAGGAATAATGCCCTAGGATTATGTTAAAGGGACTCCCTTCCGGGGAGGGGGGGGGGGGACACGCCCATTGTAATATCCCTGTCTGCTGTCTACACAAAGAAATCTGTGCTTAGACCGTACCCGGAATATCAGATTATATATATATAAGGAGACCCCGGTGGCCGTTTTTACACATTTTTATTAAATGGTGATAAATTGAATTTGCTATTTCGCAATAACATACTAGGTTGGGCTGTGGCCACCCCAGGGCCGGGATGCTGTGCTTAGAGCTGGCTTTTAAAGAAAGCTTTGGGTTTCGTTTAAATGAAACGTTTCTTATTATTAGCTCTGGGTGTGGCTTGTGAAGCTCCTCTTCTGTCTGCTTTTTCAGCCATGTTTTCAGTGTCCTGCCTGCATCCTTTGTTATAGTTAAAAAAAAAAATCCGTGCCAGGCTCGGCTGTCAGCTGAGAAATGAACATCTCAGTCACAATCAGAATTGTGTTTTATCTGCTGATTTCCTGATTTTAATTAGGTGTTTCTGTAATGACAGGTCGTAAGAAAGCATTTGTAAATTATAGATTAAAAAAAAAAAAAACGGTACCCAATACCAGGCCCATTGCTCCTTATGATAGGAATTGAGAAATTAGGATATTTGTCATATAATTGCATGTAGACTGTATGTATTGAGGCTTGGTATGCTTCCAACGGTGGCTCCAAGTCCTCGGTTGCCGTGGTTACAAAACTCAGTCTGCTCTCAGTCCTGTAGTGATAAAGCAAATTTACCCTTTGCTTGCTGCACAGGCCTAAAAAGATGGCTGGCAAGCCCAGTTGGGTTTACGCCAGGACTAGGTTTAGGGACTGTTTTACTCATTTTTTTAACCTTTATTTGTTGTTTGTGGATTTTTTTTTTATGCATTTTATTTTGTCTTTCTCCCTGGTCTCCTTTCTGGCATAAAGCGATAGATTTTCTGAATCTGCTGTGTGTTTCAGAGGCAGACTCTTTTATTTTTCTTTCCAGAATGTCCCAAAGCTCCACGCCTAATAATAATTCTCTCCGTGGAGTTTAGATGCAGTGCTGGTTAGCATGCATGTCTGAGGCCTGTCTGGAATTTCTATGCCATAATGGTAGTGGATGGGGAGGTAGCTGTTTTTTTTTTTTTTGTGCATTGCAAATCACAGGAAAATGCATAAGATGTTTAGAAAGCTTTAGTGTTTATATGTCATGTGTTTCGGCCTATGCTACACAAGTGATTTCTAATGATTTAGAAAAAAAAAATCATGCAGTTCGGATTCAGTTCGCTCAGACTACATCCACTGTACTTAACGTTATTGTATATTTGTTTTTTCCTTTTCATTTTCTGTTAAATACAGACCTATGACCAGTTATTGGTAATTCTTGTCTCTTGGGGGGGGTGGTACAGTGTAATTTAGCATGGTCATTTGCAGGCTGAAATTTCAGAAGATTGAAAATTGTAACTTGAGAATCACAACTGCAAAACATTGTATGTAAAAAAAAAAAGAAGGAAAAATAAAAGAAGGAAAAAAAAAAGGTGACCACTAGAAGTAGGAAATATTAGTCTAAATCAGTGGTCTCCAAACTGTGGCCCTTTGCCTGCCTCTATCCGGCCCTTGGGGTACTATTCCTCTCACAGACACTAACAAGGAGGCACCATTTCTTCCACTGGCACCAACTCTGGGGCATTTTTCCTTCCACTGACACCAATGATGGGGCACAATTCCTCCCACTAATATAAACAATCAGGTACTGTTCCTCCAAATTATACAAAGGATGGGGTGCTATTCCTCCCCCTGACAGCAATGATGGGGCACAATTCCTCCCCCTGACACCAGTGATGGGGCACTATTCCTCCCCCTGACACCAATGATGGGGCACAATTCCTCCCACTGACACCAATGATGGGGCACTATTCCTCCCACTGACACCAATGATGGGGCACTATTTCTCCCCCTGACACTAATGATGGGGCACTATTCCTCCACCTGATACCAATGATGGAGCACAATTCCACCCAGTGACACCAATGATGGGGCACTATTCCTCCCACTGTCACCAATGATGGGGCACTATTCATCCCACTGTCACCAATGATGGGGCACTACTCCTCCCACTGACACCAATGATGGGGCACTATTCCTTCCACTGTCACCAATGATGGGGCACTATTCCTCCCACTGACACCCATGATGGGGCACTATTCCTTCCACTGTCACCAATGATGGGGCACTATTCCTCCCACTGACACCAATGATGGTGCACTATTCCTTCCACTGTCACCAATGATAGGGCACTATTCCTCCCACTGACACCAATGATGGGGCACTATTCCTTCCACTGTCACCAATGATGGGGCACTATTCCTCCCACTGACACCAATAATGGGGCACTATTCCTCCCACTGACACTAATGATGGGGCACTATTCCTCCCAGTGTCACCAATGATGGGGCACTATTCCTCCCAGTGTCACCAATGATGGGGCACTATTCCTCCCAGTGTCACCAATGATGGGGCACTATTCCTCCCACTGACACCAATGATGGGGCACTATTCCTCCCAGTGTCACCAATGATGGGGCACTATTCCTTCCACTGTCACCAATGATGGGGCACTATTCCTCCCAGTGTCACCAATGATGGGGCACTATTCCTTCCACTGTCACCAATGATGGGGCACTATTCCTCCCAGTGTCACCAATGATGGGGCACTATTCCTTCCACTGTCACCAATGATGGGGCACTATTCCTCCCACTGTCACCAATGATGGGGCACTATTCCTCCCACTGTCACCAATGATGGGGCACTATTCCTCCTTCTGAAAACCGTAAACCGGCCCTTTGTTCAGAAAGTTTGGAGACCCCTTGTCTAAATTATATTCCAGGTTGCTAAAAAATCAATCTCTGCACAGCAGAATTTTACGAGAAATATTATTACCGCAGACTCGTTTCAAAATGATTTTCCAAGGCAAAAATCAATCTCTGCAGACAATGTTTTTTTTATAGAAATATTATTAATAGTAATAATTGTTTAGAGTACAGGACAGTTAGGGTCTAAATGATAATACAAAAATAGTGCTGCACCACTCAATATATATTAAAACTACATGCGAAAATAAACAAAAAAAAAAAAAAAAGATTATCAGTAAATAACCTCCAGGATGACTGACACACATAAGAAAAATGAACTTGAATAATCAATTAAGGATTGACCTAGTAAATAATGAAATATATATATATATATATATATATATAATAAAGTTGACTTGACATAAACACCCCCAGTCCATCTAACACACATACATTGCAGTGTTGAATAAACAAGTGATATATAACAATAAAGTCAGTAGTAGTAACCATGTGCAGAGAATAGCAATGCAAAATAACAGAAATTGACAAAAGTGAACACCTGGCTGGGGCTCCTAGCCCAAAAAACACATTATAGTGTCTGCAGCAGCTCTGATTGGTATTTTTACAGTTACATAGTTAGTCTGGCTGAAAAACGACAAAAGTCCATCCAGTTTAACCATAGAAGAAAAAAAAAAGTTATAATCCTATACCCACAGTTGATCCAGAGGAAGGCAAAACATTTTTAAAGAATAGGTATTTGTGACAGCGCAGGAGAACCGCCTCTTTCATAGTTTTACAGTCTAAATGATCTAAATAACCATTTGCTCTAAAATGTTCAAGTTGTATAAGTGTTATGATTGTCCTATAAAGCAATATTAAACCCAAAACCAAAAATGTAATATATTGCGACTTAAAAATCTTTAGATGTGGTGGCTGCATTAGTTTTCTATTTTAGGCTTTTCCTCCTCTGTTTTCACCTTGTGATCTGGCCAGTAGCCTGCACTAGAGTGCCCCACTCTGGGTGAAGGAGCACTGGGGGGCACCTTTGGACAGCGGTATTGTCAGTCTGGGGGTAGGGGATTGTTAGATGGACTAGCAGATTTAAATACAAAAACAAATTGAAACTGAACTTCAGCTAAAAAAAACTTTATAGGAAGTTATAGCAAACAGTTTTTTTTTTCCTTTGGAATAAAGGTTTTACATAAATTAAAGCTGACCATTGTAAGAACCTCTGTCAGTGTTCAATGGTTTGCCTCATCCCTGTAACTGATACATCGGCAAAAGAGCTTGTTCTGTTGAAATACAACAGACTTACTGGCTAGATCACCAGAAGAAAATAAAACAAAGAAAGCCTAAAAAAAGAAAACTAATGCAGCCATCACATCTAAAAATTGGTAAGCTTTAATATAATAAATATTTGCTTTTGGGTTTATTATTGCTTTAATGGAAGCCTATATTGAAAGGAATATAATGCTACCATTGATGTACTCTTGAAATTGCCAGTTGACTGGATGGCAGTGGCCCTAATGGGGCAGCGTGGAAGTGCTTCCAGATGTCACATGGGGAAAGTCACATGCTCCCACATACTTAGAGGTCCCACTCTGTTAGAGCAGTGCTGATGGGGGAGTATACCTTGCTGCGGAGGTAGGAAAAGTGACAGTGTCTCTTTAATTTTTTGAGTTGCTGTACAGATGTGATGTTACATGGCTCTGTGTAGGGGGGCTCAAAGCAGCACAAGGAGTCAGTTAGTTGTCCTGCAGTGCAAAGTGCATGCTCATAGGAGGCTCAAGCAGGACCACAGCGAAATGAGCTTCAGTCTTCTGCTTCTCTTTTCACTGCCCAATCATGGAGTGGGG